TTACAAAGATCTTATCAGTTCGTTTAATATGAAACACTCAATATACGAAGAAAGCCTTCCAGACAAAATTGCCACAATGGAAGGGAGAAAATTTTAGAATGGCAAAGATTACAAGCGAATAGAACTAGTTTTCATAACAGTACGCTGGATTTCGAAAGCGTTGTAAGTAACAGACAAAGCATTCTCTTCATCAATATCATATATCTACTTACGTGATTTCAGTTAACAAATTAACATTCTTTACAAGAATAGTATGATTAATGTTCAAAACTGATGTCACTTAGATGATAGAGAACAGGAACAATTATTCTATTCTTTGCACTTAAACATTTTATTTAAATTTCGTTGTACGTCTCAATGAGACTTTCACAGTGTATGGAAGAGTTTAAAGAGCAAACAATACCGCTAATTTTAGAGTAAAAAAATTCCTATTCATAATCATTGCTTAACTTTAGATATCAGATTGACTTATCAAGTCGATACTCTTTTATTTATTAAAATAGTTTGAACTACATAAATGTTAGGAAATCAAACGAGCAAATCCAAATAGCTGTTCTTCATGAAAAATTTGTATTGTTTTTCTTCAAATAAGTTTAACAACAACTGTTTTCACTTCATAGTATGCTTCAAGACCATATCGACCTGATTCTCTTCCCTGACCTGATTGTTTAAAACCACCAAATGGTGCTTGATTACATATAGCCTTATAAGTATTTATCCAAACAGAGCCAGATCGTATTTGATGAGCCAACGTAAGAGCACGTGTTACTGAAAAACCAGAATAATCATCAATAATCATTTCTTCCAAACTTACTATCTCTAGTTATCACTCCAGCACCAAGTCCAAAAATCATGTCGTTTGCTCGTTTGATAACTTCTTCATATGAATCATACTTTAAGACTGACATTACTGGATCAAAAATCTAAACTTTTACATTATTTTAGAATCTAACCAAAAAAAAGTGTTATATCTCTTCACGAGCAATTTGTATATCATCTTTTACACCACTAAAAATAGTTGGTTTGATAAAATAACTTTTATTACCAACTCGTTCACCACCACATTCTAATTTACGTAAAATCTACCTATTTGTTTCAAAGAATAACGCATAATAATTTTTCATTTGATTTCGTCTTAAAAATAAAACAGAATTGATTTTCAAAAAAAAACCAAACAGGTAAAAGGCAGATAAAATAGAAATATATAAATAATTGCCACATGATGATATGAAAAGAAAACACATTTCTTTATAATACAAAGTGATATTTAATAAAATTTAAATCACAAAATCGACCTAATTGATATAAATTTACATCACGGAAATATACTATAATTAAACATTGAATTTTTGTATCTCTCTTTTTTTATATTCGCAAATAATATATAAAGTGTATTCTTCGATCATCGTTCTTGACTTGTCTCATTTGTTTTTCTATCCACGGTTGATTAAGCAAACAATATACACTCTTCTAACCATTAAACATGTTGCTTCATACCTAATATTTATTCTCTGTTTTTCTAGTTACAGCATCATAATGTTAATAGATTTCTTCATCCACCATCAATATGTCATTACCTATTGCAATAACAACCGAACAAGTCGAAGAAATACGAGCATGAGTTGCAACTTTTTTTAAAGAATTTGATTCACTGGATGTTCAAAGTTGGGTTATTAAATACTTTCAACCCGGTGCAATTGTGAATATAGGAAACTTACCATCAATCAAAGGACATAAAGAAATATGCGATTATATCGAACAGGAACATACTCATATATCATTCATAAAACATGACATTAACCATTTGGTAGCGGACTTATTTCTTCATAAAAAATGAAATTGTGTTGCAAAAATGAATTATATTTTGAAAGTTCTTAAGGATCATAATTATTGCCCTTAGACCTCATTTAAAAGATGTAGCTGGTTTATTTGCAAATGAAAAAACACATGAAAAGAAAAAACTAAAAGTTTACCAAGGTACGAAATTCTTCGAAACAACGAACTACGCAAAGATCCACATCATAATTTTTACACATATAACGTGAATCTGTTCTCTTTTTAAGTCTTCTATTAGTATGTACACATACAATAGATTTTTTCTAAGTTTTTCTTTCCGTTGTTTGACGCACAAGAGAAGAAAAATATTTCGCAGCGAGTCTAGTTGGGTTACATTCCTGTACAGGTCCCTATTAATCAATAATAGTGCCTTACGAAAAATATTCCTGGCGTTTACAGCATGTCACTAGTGAGCTTCATCAAGTTATCTCTATATACTACAGATGGAATTAGTAAGTAATTCCTTTACTAGCTTATTCAAAATTTTGAAACCGTAAATTTACGGGCTTTGCCATCAAAGGGTTAAACATGTAAACCTTTTCTTTGATCGAATTTATGTACAAAAGCGCACTACTACTCTTGTCAAGAACGCTTCTGAACAGAAAGAAATTATAGCTCAATTATTTTTTGTATTTTGGAAGAAGATTGATGAAGACAAATTATCATCATTAGATGTTTATTATGATTCAACTTCTCTTCTCGAACGAATTAAAATGTATTCATCAAAATAAAATAGGTTAATTATGTTGTGGGATAATAAACTGATCATATAACTAAAGTCGAGATCGATTTAAGACTAGTATATATATATATATATGTTTCTCAAGTGAATAATAAAGTATTGTGTATAAGTTTCAGCTAAGATTTTCCATCACTTTCTCTATTGTTACACTAATTGAATCAAAAGTAAAACCCGAGTTTTAATAACAGAAAAAAGCAAAAGGATGTTTGTGAATGTCACTGATTCCATAAGGTTCAATTGATGATAATGACTACCAATATGGCGACATTTCCAATTTAGATTTCCTATTCGAAGACACATAAGATTAAAAAGTTAATATTGTCAATTACATAGAAGATTTTCAAATAAACAAAGTAAACAACGTTTGACGTTCTCTACTTTATTATATAATGTTCAAATCATAATTATCAAAAAGATGTGTTTATTTTATTTGAAATTGAAGAGTTCGTGCTTTTCTATGCTATTTACCTTATCGATACATAGGACAACAAATAGATCTACCAATCTCTTTTAATACACAAATCTAATCAATTAAAATTGTTTTAATTTTACAAAAATTATTTCACAAAAGTATCATAACCAATTCAATTGTTGGTGTGACTTTCGCAATTCAAAATGATAACTTATCATCGTCAAATAGTTAGGAAAATTTGACACCGTCAATCTAAACTGCATGAATATTGGAAAGAAAATATCCAGTAGTGGTCAAATCGCTTGAT